TGTGTAAAGTTTTACATTTTTATGGGTACTTAAACCCTGAGGAATAAAAACTCAAATTTTAATCCCATCCCAACCATGAACTAGTTTCTTGGCCAAGTTCGAGGCAAAGTCGCCATGTAGACGTGATTTGCAAATCGATTCTGCAGATTGTGCGAGAGCTATGTAGGTGGAACGGAAAGTACGTGCTCATGAAGCATCATGCCATACCGAATGTTCATCCAACATTCCAGACACCTGTGTACAAAAGCACTTGGATCACTTTGAGATTCCCGAAACCCCAAAATGCAACGAGTGTCGTGAAGGTTCCGTCGCCGAAGGAGACGGTCGATGCCGCCACGCGGCATTTTATGGGGGCAAAACGGAAGCAGGCTAAACGCAAGGTACGTCGATGTAGGGTGGCTATCTTGGGCTGCATGATGGTGTTTACATCCCTAACATCCCTAAGGTTTAAAGGCTCTTGGGGTTAAGGCTTTCAGGCTTCGGGTTCACCTAACCTCCCCATCCGAAGCCTTCAGCCATCTTGAACGACACCAGAAGCCCGGAGCCCTCCTAAACCCACAGCCTACAGCCAGCACCCTAGCGGATTTCCGCCGATCCTTCCAGGATTCCTAGGCGTCCCGTCAGACCGGTGGGTCGAAACTTCATGCATAGAGCATGTTTTAGGGGTTTAGGGTTTGCGGTTTAGGGCTTTGGTATTTAGGGTTTAGGGTTTAGGGTGAGGTTTAGGGCTTTGGTATTTAGGGTTTAGGGTTTAGGGTGAACCTAAACCTGCAAACCCCCGCCGGCAAAGCACCGAAGCCTCGAAAGCCTCGACTGAAGCTGCTATCCTAGACCCTCGAACCTTCAGCCCTAGCCCTTTCACTTGTAAGCCTTTAACCGTAAGCCCATTAAGCCTTAAGCACTCAATCTTAAAGCAACTCTAAACCCTAAACCCTGAACCCTAAACCCCAAATCCCTAGGGTTTAGGGCTTAGGGCTTAGGGGTTAGGGCTTAGAGTTTAGGGTTTAGGGTTTAGGGTTTAGGGTTTAGGGCTTAGGGTTTAGGGTTTAGGGTTTAGGGTTTAGGGTTACATACCAGATCTATCTCGCGAGCATTTATATCAGCTTCTTCTTCTTCTCTCTCTCTCTCTCTCTCTCTCTCCCTCCCTCCCTCCCTGTTTTTATTCTGTTTAGGTGCGTGCATGTGTGTGCGTATGTGCATACATCTTTATACAAGCAAGCATACTATATACATACATACATACATACATAAATACATGCGTACATGCATATCCATTCTGGAACACACTTTCCACACGCAAGGCCTGAAGCGGTCGAGGAGCCAACGGCCTTCGCCGGGTACAGAGAAGTCGCAGCTTTTCACTGAGAGCCAGGGCGCTTCAGGGCCGTTGGGGAATAGGGCTCAGGCTTGGAGTTCTGTAAGGGTTTCTTTAAGGGTTCGGGTTTAGGGTTTAGGGTTTAGGGTTTAGGGTTCTATAAAGGTTTAGAGTCTAGGGCTTAGGGTCTAGGTCGTGTAGGCTTTTGAGTTGAGATTGTAGGATTATGTTCATCTGTCGAGTCCTGCCCAATAGTCCACGCCCGGAAGGAAGTAGCAACAGAGACACTGAGAACAAAAGTCCTCAAGACGAGACGAGCCTCCAGCTACTCAGCAGCTTTCACCACAGGGTTGTCCTCGAAGAGGAGAAGACAAAGGTCTGAATGACTTGAAATAGCACCACCTTTTAGCCAGTTCTAGTCCTTCTATGATTTCAGTGTGATATACCCCGAAAACATGTTCTTGTTAAGGATCTACAAACCTTTATATACACAATCAACAAAGCACACCGAAACCATAAAGCTCCAACTGGAGCATTCAGGCGTCTACATTAGACGGCTCCTCCTCTGAAGGGCTAGGCCCATCTAGGACCTAAGCCCTTGACCCCAAACTCCTTGTGTATCCAGGCATGGGTTCACAAGGCCTTCTGCGATCTAAGAGCGGCTTTGCCAGGGTTTTCGGATGTTTTTAGGGCTTGGGCTTTGGGGCACGACGAAACCTTACTGCGAATCTCCTGAGAAGGACAACCCGCTTTCGCAAATTTTCACCCGAAATTTTCATTCCCTGGCGGCTTCGGCGAAACGAGATGAACTTGACACGTACATAAAGGTTTGGTAAAAGAAAGTTTGACGTATGCGGTGTATTTGTTGCTCTCGCTAGGGTTATTTTCAGGTTTCCAATGTTATGATACGGCGCTGTGATTTTAGCTCCGTGATAAGTGCATGTAGCGCTGCTGGGGAACCTTGGTGAGTTTATATCTGGGTTTCCGGATTAGCATGTGGCAATACTATCATACAGGCGCCATGTCATACGGGGGTTGATCAAAATTATGGGTCCTTTTGAGGTCTGCATTATAGTAGATTCTTTATAGTCTCGGGGATCCACAGGGGCCCATCATTTTGATCAACCCCCATACAGCTTCGGATCACGGGATGTAGGTTCTGTTTCGGATCTTTGCTACGCGCTACGCCCGAAAGCAACCTTTGAAGGCAAACATTCGGAACCTTTGCCCTTCTTGAAGAAAAAGTTGAAAATATTAGAATATCCCCACTCAATTCTAGACCCTGGCCCCTAGACCCTAAACCTCGATCCCTATCCCAATCCCTAAAGCCTAAGCCCTATGTTTTAAAGCCCATATGGGAGGTTCCGAAGATGGGGGACGCAAATATAGTACCCTAAATAGTAGGATCCTGATTATAAGTAAGGACCCCAAAATAACGCACCCCTAATGTTCGGAAACTCTAAACCCTAAAACCCTTTATAGATCCCTTTAAGGAACCCTTAAAGGATCCCTGAAGCCCATATTTCGCGACGCAGAACCAGGGTTGCGAGGCCGTCACCGAAGCCGCTGGTAGCTTTCGATCGCTTCCAGTTTTCCGCAGCTTCGTTGCCAAAAGCAGGTCACTAAACCCCAAACCCGAAGCCCCTAATAGAGGGGCCTTAATAATTAGACTAGGGTTCCCTTAAAGAGTTCACTTATAAGGGTTACTAAGAGGGTTCTATGATATACGGGCCTAAATCATTACCTATACTGATTTGGGGGTTCCTTATTATCATTACAGTATAATATAACCCCCAAAACCCGAAGCAGCGCCAAAATCCCTGAATCCAAAACCTTACACCCGCAGCCCAAATTTTGCTCGACAGTTTGACCCCTTGGCCGAAAGTCATTGAAGCAAACCGAGCCGGGACTGACCTCCGAAGCAAGCCGGCTACTATAAGAGGCCTAAATGGTTACCAATAGTCTTCCTTCCGGTTCCTTGTTATAAGTATACTATAATGCGCCCCAGAATCCTTTTCTGATTATTGAGGCCCCTACATTACCTCGACACCCTGACACTAATCGCTCCGAAGCCCGGCTCTGCATGATTTCGCTGTCTCAGCGCGGACTCGAGTCTGAGTGTCGGGTTTCAAGAGTTTTCCTTCCCAGAGAGCCCAATACCCCTTAATTAAAGAGTATGGCTTAACTTATATAGGGCTTCATATCATGATTTAAGGTATATTCCTTAATTAAGGGGTATTGGGCACTCTGGGTTCGGGTTTGTTTGACCATAAATCTTTTGCAACTTTGGCGAGCATTCGTACTATGATTTCAAGCAGACACTTCTGTTGCTGGCCTCGCTTCCGTTCCGAGTTCGGGCTGCGGATGATTGTTCCGTACGAAACTAACAAAAACTGACAAACCAAGGGTCACAACCCCAAGCTAGCGACCCGAAGTCACAAGACCCTAACCCTAAACCTGTAGCCGCTGAACAAACCCCTCAACCAGACACCTAGCAAAGGGGTGGGGCTTCATGTACTGCAAAGCCCATGAACGCATCAATCCGGCATGAAGACCCATGAGAGCACGGAAGAGTGTGCAGGCCTGAGAATTACAGTAAGCTCCATAAAGTTGGAAACCGGATTAAGGACAAATAGTGCTGGGAGTCCCTATACATTACTCTTAAGGATGGAGGCTTATGGGTTTCCAACTTTTAGGCTTCTACTGTAGGGTTTTTGAGTGTAGGGATTTCTGTGTGTGGGGCTTGCTCAGTTCAGTGATCACGGAACCCGTTCGCCCCGAACGGCAATGTCCACGAGGCCCTTGAACCCTGCATGCCTGGGATGCCCGACAAACTCTACGGTAAATCAAAAACCCCGAATTCTAAACCTAAAGCCCGACATAAACCCTAAAACCCCCAAAAACCCAAATCGTTCTCCGGAGCGGCTCACATCGATTCCTTGTAGCTTCCGCCGCTTCCGCTGAGACTTCAGAGGACGCGTCGTCCCCGTGACTCGGCTCGCTTTGGGTTTCTTGGTACCCTAGTGTTCAATGCAACTGCCCTCCATGCCCAGCCCTCGACCCTCAACCCTAAACCCTATATCCTGAAGATTCCTGAAGTCAAGCCCTAAACCCTAAATCCCAAAACCTGAAGATTCCTGAAGTCAAAGCCTACACCCAAACGGCTGAGCTCGACTTTCTGTGCCGACGTCAACCTGCAGTTTCCTTGGGAACAACCCTTTGCGCCGATACCTTGAAGACAAATTGGGATTTGTGGGTGGTTGTCGAAATTATGGTCCCTTTTTGGGTCCCTATTATAATACGGCACCTATTATGTAGGGTATCCAAAAAGGGACCATAATTTTGACAACCACCCATGTAGACCCACCCTGACGAATAGCCCCCTTTACTTTAGTCATCCTCTTACGGCTAAGTTGTAGCAGGAATCAGTGCACTGAGGAGGCTCGCACAGGAAAAGGTGTGGGTCATGCGGAATGATGGCTGTAGCCACCTTGTTCAATGTCCTACTGAAAAAATTCCTGTAAGGCATGGCTAAACGTTACGACTCTCTGCCCTGAAACCCGACTCATCTAAGAAACCTCTCAGCTTTGTACGTTTATCTTCGATTGTCCCCGAACCAACTGTGCACCATAATGAAACGACCACTCACTGTATAAGTGCAGCTGATCATGAGGTACGTCACAACATGGCCTGTGCTGATGCGGAAGAGCGCGCCGAGGTTCCTCGGATCTGCATGCCGCAAGCCTAAGTAATCTGTAGTCACCCGTTTAGGAACTTTCTCGGGACCACGTTCTGGATAGAACCCTTCCGGGGTTCAGAGTTCAGGGTTTAGGGTTTGAGGTTTCGGGATAAGGTGTTTGAGGAACCCTCTGAAGAAGCCTGGGTACTTGGTTGAATTTGGGGTTCATGAGGCCTCCTCAGCTGCGTAGATGCCTGACAGTGCATTGTGAGCTTGAGTCTTAAGTCTCCAAAACATTACATGGGGGCTAGATCAATTACTGAGCCATGGGCTAGATATACTATAAGTATATACTGATATAGGGACTACAAGAGAGGATTCCCAAAGCCCCAAACCCAAGCCCCCAGTTGGGGCAGAGGGCTGCTAGCGTGCCGTTTAAGGTTTAGGGTTCAGGATTTGGGACCCTGCTTGGAGGTTCACGAGTGGGGTTATAAGCCCCCTAGTAGGAGTTATAACTATGTTAGTCTACTTATATAACTCCACTTATAACGGCCATGAACCTCCAAGCCTCCACATGAACCCGAATACGATTTCGAGTTTAGCGTGTCGGGAGGTTGAGCTCCGGGTCGAGTTTTTCAAAATCGCTTCTGCTTTGGGTTTAGGGTTTAGGGTTTCTGGGTTATTGTTTCAAACTGTCATGGTTTCTAAACCCTGTGCGAAACCCCAAAAAGCAACCACTATGAAAACACAGGCACAAATACAAACCCTGTGCGTTCCCCAAAAAGCAACCCCTATGAACACACAGACACAAACACATACTATCCAAATCACGCCATTGCAAACAGCCCCAACACTACAAAGTGGGTGGTTGTCAAAATTAGGGTCCCTTTTTGGGTCCCTAATATAGTACGGCACCTACTATTTAAGGTTGGACCATAATTTTGATAACCACCCATGCGTAGGTTCTCGTATAGAAAGGCCCAAGCTATGCTGAAGGTAGCCTTCGAGCTTCTGGACGTGGACGGCGACGGCCTTCTGGGAAAGGAGGCCGTTTAGGGCTTTAGGGCTTTAGGTTCAGGGTTGAGGGCTTAAGGTTTAGGGTTTAGGGCCTAGGGTTTATAGGGCTTAAGGTTTAGGGTTTAGGGTTTGGGACAGGAGGCCGTTCAGATGCGGCGGCGCGTCAGGGGGCTTTAGGGTTTTGAAGGGTATCTGGGCTTTTCACCACTACTTTCGGGGTGTTGATAAGTAGCCTCTTTATCTTTTTACGGTTTAGTTTTCTTTTCTAAGGGTCTTCGTAGACTTTTGGTAAGGATCGTTTTTGGGTAAATTGGGCGCATCATGGAGCTTTCGGTGGTGTTAAGGCTGGAGTGTGCGGCTTTGAGTTTCAACGTTTGGGGCTTGAGGGTGACCGGGTGTCGGTGAAGAGTGTTGTAGTTCAGGGCGAATGGTGCAAGGTTTAGAGCTTGCAGCTGTTTGTGTGTTGGAAATTTTATATGGGTGGTTATCAGAATTATGGTTCCTTTCTGGGTCCCTAATATAATACGGCACCTACCCTAAACCCAAAAAGCGACCCCAATTTTGACAACTGCCCATATACTAGGATGCCCAGTAGTACCCTTATTCCCTTTTTGTAGTCCTAGGTTCCTTATGAAGTTACCCATTACCAAAAAGAGAGGCCCTTTTTATTCTTAGGTTACTGGGTATCCTAGTATAGGTTTTGGGGTTTCCGGGTTAGGGCTTCTGTAGGGTTTCAGGGCCTGACTGGTTTAGATTTTAATGCATTGGGTCGAGGGTTGCAGGCTCGAGGGTTAGAGATTGTGTTCATACTGTCTTTCTAGGGTGCCATTGGGTTTTGGAGCTCTTTTAGTTTTTAGTGTTTTGGAATTTGCGGGGTTTAGGGTGTGAGATGGCTTCGCATGAGTTTACATGGAGTCTATTAGGATTGATAATTGCGCGCGTCTAGGCGTGTTGTTATCGGGCTTTGATTGCGTGTTGCAGTGTGTCTTTCAGGGTCGTCGTAGATGTGCTCCTAACATGAGGGTCTGGAATTTACTGTGCTGGGGGCGGTAGATTTGGCCCGTACCACTTGTGATGGGTTCCGAAACTTGGGGCTAAGGGTAACCGTTGTAGTGATTAGGGTGTCTGGCTTAGCATGGCCTTACAGGGTTGAGTGATTTATGCAGAACCAGGGAGACTCTATATGGGGCCCAGGCTTCAAGGCTTTGGGTTTAGGGTTTAGGGGTTTAGGGTTTCTGGATTGTCGGGATCGGGGTTTACTCTTTCAAGCCACCAGCCTTGCTGGTGAGTTTACTGAAGCCGGAATGACCTACCTTTTTAAAGACTTGTATAAGGAAATCATAACATGGAACCCTAAAAAGGTAGGTTATTCCGGCTTAAGGTACAGCCTTTAAGGCTTTGGGCTTTAGCTTCGGGGGCCTCAGGGTCTGGGGTGTTCGCGCAGCTCCAGGACATACGGCAGGCCCTGAGCCTCTGCGGCTACGAAGCAGAGGCGCACCGGGATTCCCGAAACAAAGGGTTCGGGGTTCAGGGTTTAGGGTACTTAGTAGTAGCTGAGTAGGTATCCTTTAACCTTTGGGGGTTTATGTAGTCCTACTATAATGGAAAAGGCTAACTTTTTGTGGGCCAGGGTACTCAGCCACTAAGACACTGCGCTACTCTCATAATCAGGACCTTCAGCACGTGGGACCCCTGGCCCTTGGAACCCTGATTTAGAGAGCCCTCCTATTCAGAGTTTAGGGTTTAGGGTTCCGATGCTTGATAAGGAGGCTATGCTCATCGCAGCCTTACCTTGACACAAGCGATATTGGAGTAGTTGTCAGCAAGAAGACTCCGGTGTCATTTACCACTTCCATGAGGGATGTTGTGGTACTTATACCTGTGGCACACTGGCTTCCGATGCTGTTGCTCTATGCTACCTGCGGCGCCCACGCACCTCCCCTCTGACTAGCGTCCCTCTATCAAGGAAACCCTGTTAGGGTCTACCCTAAACCCTAAACCCTAAACCCTCAACCCTAACCCTAAACCCTAAACCCTCAACCCTCAACCCTAAACCCTAAACCCTAAACCCTAAACCCTAAACCCTCAACCCTAACCCTAAACCCTAAACCCTAAACCCCCGATCCCTCGTTGGACTTAGGGTTTCGGGTTGAGATTGTTCTGGAGTCTTCGGCCGGAGGGCGAACCTCTTTGGGGCCCAGGGCCGAGGCTAAGGGTTTTAGGGTTTTAGGGTTTTAGGGTTTTAGGGTTTAGGGTTTTAGGGTTTTAGGGTTTTGGGTGTAGGGTTTTAGCGTTTTAGGGTTTTAGGGTTTTAGTGTTTAGGGTTTTAGGGTTTTAGGGTTTAGGGTGTTAGGGGTTTAGGGTTTAGGGTTTAGGGTTTTAGGGTTGTAGGGTTTTAGGGTTTTAGGGTTTAGGGTTTAGGGTTTTAGGATTTTAGGGTTTTAGGGTTTAGGGTTCTAGGGTTTCGAGCGTGGGGTTAGGGTGTAGGGTTTAGGGCCCAGGGTTTGGAGTAGGGTACCCGGAACCCCCGATTCGAAGCTTTTCCTGGCGTCAGCGGCTTTTCTTAGTCAGCTAAGACGGTTAAGATGCTTTAGGAGCAGGATGTTGCATATCCTACACCCGAAGCCCTGCGCACCCCCTTTAGAATCCTAATTCCGGACACCTGTGTCACCAAATTAGCCTTCCAACCCGCAGAAGCCCAGAACTTCCACGCACCGAAGCCTGCAAAGCTCCTGACCCCTAAAGTGTGACCTCTTGAATTCCTAAACCCTATAGACCCTAAACCCCGAGCGCCCAAGACACGCGCTAGAAAGCCCGAGCCCTATCCATGGAGACCTTTCGGAGTAGCTCCACTTCTTTGGGGTTGAGGGTTTAGGGCTTTGGGAGTTTAGGGGTTCAGGGCTTTTAGCGTTTAGGGTTTAGGGAGTTTAGGATTCAGGGCTTTTAGGGTTTAGGGTTTAGGGAGTTTAGGGTTCCGGGCTTTTAGGGTTCAGGGTTTAGGGAGTTCAGGGTTCAGGGTTTTTGGGGTTTAGGGTTTAGGGAGTTCAGGGTTCAGGGCTTTTAGGGTTTAGGGTTTTTGGCGTTTAGGGTTTACTATTGGAGTATATACTACGAATACTACAATTATGGCTACCTTGAAACACTCCATATGCCTACCGTAAGGGCCCCTACGGCGCCACTGTCCCGGCGCTCCGGGTGTCAGAGGAAAAGATGGAGCCATCTCGAGGAGCTGATGATGAAGCTCTGAAGGTCGTTATCGATGACAAGTGCAAGAGCATCGAAGCGGTGACGTATGTGGAACGTCTTTTGAAGCAAGAGCGAAAGGAAAGGCCCTCAGTGGAGGAAGTTTGGAAGCTTGTGGCTTTGTCTTCTCAGAGCTCCAGCCCTACGAACGTGGCATAGTTCAGTGCCCAGTTGCAGCTCCGCGAAGCGCCGGAAGTGTCAAACCGAAGTACAAGACTGGCAGCACGAGAAACAACTGCAGTGCGTTCTTCGGCAGCGGGCGCCTAAACCCCAAAGCCTGACCCCTGACCCTTTCAAGGTTCAGGTTTGGGTTTAAATCCCCATTGCACCTCCACCTCCAGAACTCGACAAGATGCCACGAATGGGCAGCAAGGGCTTCGGGAGTGACGTTGTGTGTATAAGTGGGGATGCGGACAGTCGTTCGCTGTGGAGCACGACCGGGACCAACACGAATGCTATCATAAGCTACTTTTTCTAGGGTCTAATTCGAAACCCCAATACAGAATGAAAGCGGCCCTGCAACAAAGTATGTTTGGGTAGCTCCGGGCAGGGTGTTTTCCTCGTTCCTTTAGCTTTTCACATTCCCAGTAGATAGGGTAACCTTTGACTTCTTGGGATATTGTAGTACCTATAGAATCCCAAAGGTTAGCCTTTAGTTCCTTTGGATACTAGACAATTAGGCATTTCCACCTCTAACTATGCAAAACCTCCAAGTAGGCCCTAAACCCTATACCCTCACAGAATCCCTGTAGATCCCTTTAAAGGGACCCTTAAAGGAACCGTTATAACTACCCGTTGCACCCCACAGGTATGCATTATTTCGGGTTTTTGCCCTCGCCCCGCGCTTCGCCGAGCGAGGCTGGCACCCTGGAGCTCTTGGCTGCAGGAGCGCCGAAGCCGGGACAGCCGCCAGGCGGGGGTTCAAGGCTTACTAGGGTTTACTAGAGCGTACTAGGGTGTACTCGGGTTTACTAGGATGTACTAGGGTGTACTGGGGTGTACTAGGGTTTAGGGTTGGGCTTCTGTTTGGGTTGGTGTTTATGCCGTTAAAGACTTTGCAAGGTTTTCAGACGGTCAAGAAACGGGTTTGGAGGGTTGTATGTGGGGTTTAAATCAGTTTAAGTTGTGTTTTGGGCGTTTGGGTTTGAGTTGGGAGCATTTCCGTTGTCCGGGTTTGCATTCAATTGAAGGTGTAGGTAGGGTACTGCCCCCAAACTCAGTAAAAGTTGGATTATTTGTGTGTATATATGTATATATACATATGTATGTATGTATGTATATATATAGGGCCCTATAAAGGGCCCGCTATAGACTGTTACGGTATTGGGGCAGTACCCAAGGTTTACGGTTTGCGGTTTAAGGTTTGTGCTGCACTTACGCGTATTCCAGGTCGATTTTTTTCAAGTTTTTCAGGGTTTTAAGGGCTTTAGCTTTGTGTTAACTTAACCCTAAACCTTAAACCCTAAACCCCAAACCGTGAGTTTTAGTTTTGTGGTAGGGGTGTCGAGGGCTCAGGTCAGACGAGTGAAGCCAGAGCAGAGCAGGATGTAGGGTTTCGTTTTGTAGGGGTTCGGGCAGGTCTGGGTTTCGGGCTTTCCTTGTCCATATAGGGGCCTTAATAATTACCTGCCTGCACTATTTTATTGGGGGTTCCTTGTCATAACTATAGTATCATGGGCCCCAAACCTACAGTATTCTAAATATCGAGGCCCCTCCAGTATTGAAGCTCTCCTTGTCGTTGTAAGCACGTTGAGATTATGCCATTTGGTGTGTGTTTTTGTCTTTGTTTCACTTGTGGTTGTTGCCATTGTCCTGCCTGCTATCCTTGTCAACTATTGCTGTCGTAACTACAGCTTAGCGTAAATCTTGTCCGAGTCACCTTCCGTATCATTATGGCGATTCTTGCACTTAGCAAGGCTAGTCGTGTTTTTGTGACGGCTTTTCTTTGATTATTTGCAGCAAATTCTGCTGCCATCTCACTGGAGTCGTTTTCGAGCAGCGTTATCATGCGTAGCACGTCAGCAACAAGAACGTTGCAGGCGGCTGCTTTGCCGCTTCGGCTGGGTACTCCAAGCTTGAAGATGCTAGCGCCGTATGGAACCCCGGTATCATAGGAGGCCCAAAGGGGTTTTAGCCTATGGGGATTAAGTAGGGATTAGGGTTCCCATAATCGGGCTCATATTAAGGAATCCCTACCCAAGAATCTTAAACCCCCCTTGTGGCCACTCATCACGGTAGATGCCTGCTTAACGAAGCCAAACCCTAAACCCTAAACCTCAACCCTAACGACGCTCATGCCCTTCAGAGACCCTACTACAGGGGCCTTAGAATTACCCATACTATTTTAAGGTTTAGGGTTTAGGGTTTAGGGTTTAGGTGTTTAGGGTTTAGGGTTTTGGGTGTTCCTTATTACAATTCTGGTATAATAAGCCCTATTCTAATTATTCAGGCCCCTATATCAATACCCCCAGACACGCTGAAGACCGTAAAGACCTTGCGGCCTCAAAGCTTCGATCGAGCTCTGCTTCACACAGGCCAGATGGACTCGAAGACCTTCCAAGTTCTCGTCAAGCAGCACAGCCATGGCCTCGTCTGAGCAGGGAGTTTACGGTTGATAGCTGAGAGGGTACATGATTTAGGGCTTAGAGGGTATGCGGTTTGGGGCTCAGGGTTTAGGGGGTATGTGGTGTAAGGCTTAGGGTTTAGTCTGTACAGGGTAGCAGCAACAGGGTATAGTATAGGGTTTGGGTTTAGGTAGTTTAGGATTCAGGGCTTAGGGTTGAGTGTTTAGGGTTTTAAGGGTTGAGGGTTTCGATTTAGGTAGTTAAGGACGCAGGGCTTAGGGTACAGGGTTTAGGTGGTCCAACGTTTAGGGCTTAGAGTTGCTCGCCTCCCCAAGCTTGGGGAGCGGCTTGGGGACCGTCCACGCCGCAATCGACCTAACGCTTCTAGAGTCGTACCATAGAGTCATGGCGTCATTACTTGCTATTTTGCAAGGTTTGAAGTTTGGTGTTGCAAGCTCAGCATCCAACAACCTACATCTTTACGCGGGTTCTGCAGATTCAGAAGCTGTACGGATCCTAATCTGTAATGTTATAGAGAGCCCTGCAACCACCTCGAGCGACTTCTGTAGGGTTTAGTGCCTTAGGGTTCAAGTTTAGGGTTTCGGGCTTAGCGGGTACTCTTTTCCAACCGTTCAGCAACCACGCTGCTCCGTAAACTGTGAATTCTGAGGCTTACCTATGCCGCATCAGCAGAGTCCAACAATCGTGCTCAGGGTTCAAGGAAACCGCACAACTTGACAGACATCTGTAGAAGCGGCAAAGTTCTTCCAAGTAAATAGAAAGCCTAGCAGGCCGAGAAGTGCATACCTGGAAGCGTGATGTGCGCATCTCAGATTCCAGAGACCTCGTTTGTGCGATGCTTTTGTTTAGATTGTCTTTTGGGCCCCTGCAGACCCAACGTCCCAAACCCGAAACCCTAAACCCTAAACCGTTCCGGATTGCAGGGTTCAGGGCGTTCGAGTTGAGCTGGGTGCAGGCATGAAGTTGAGGGCTTTGTACTGGTTTGAAAGTAAGGTGGGTTTGGGGTTTAGGGTTCCTTTAAAGGGATCCTGCAAGGGTTCCTTAAAGGGATCTCTAAGGGTTCTACATATGTGGTTTGCTGGGCCAGACTTTCTGGTTAAAGCAGGTGAAGTCCCCACGTCCAGAACCTTCCAATCCCCTGAGCATGGAGGCGTGCAGGGTCAGTAGCTTCGAAGCTATGAAGAGACCGCACCCTAAACCCCAAACCCTAAGCCAGTCATGGTCATTGTGGCATGGCTTTTTGGGAGCAGAGTTTGAAGGCCACGTCACACCAGGCCACGGAGCAGGAGGCGTAGGGTCCGGGGTATGGAGTTTAGGTTCAGTAATTTAGGTGCATCGCAGCTCTGGTGACAGTATTTTGCTCCGTGCAATTGTTCGCATCTGAATCTTGTGTTCAGCGCAAGCTGCTCATTATGCCAGACGGCATCTTCATGAGCTTCTACAGCACCGTCGCATTTCAGCAGGGACTGGCGTGCAAGACTTCCGAGCTCGTGGCAGCCGACGGTTGTCGAATTCCCGTCGTGGGGGAGGAGGATTCCTCAGGAGCTAAAGCCCTTCAGGAGAGCCTGCATGACTTGCAAGCCGAGCTGCACCTGATCGGAAAATATGTGCAGTTTCTCGAGGTGCGCCAGGACTTAGGGCTTCGGCTGGAAGTGAAACGCAGGTGTCTTAGTAGTTTCAATTTAACGTAGTTTCAAACGTTTTACTTCACTCCTGGGGATAACAGCCCTAAGCCCTGAACCCTATGCTAAACGAAGAGGTATTCGTTCTCGCTCCTCGGTGGCTAGGCATGAAATTGGGGCTACGCCCAAGGCATCCGCTGCAACCGAAGATTCTCGTTACCTAAAACGACTGCTGAAACCTACATCTTTCGGGTTCCTTATTATGATTCGCTTTCTGGGCCTTCAAGTAGGCCTTTACACCTATGCATGCCTTGTGGGCAGGACTTTTGTGGAGAAAGCTCCGCTGCATGCTTAATCAGAAAGCCTCAAATACCCCGAGCCCTAAATCCAGAACCCTCAACCGTAAGCCCTGAAACCTCGCTTCATGCAGATCGATCAGGGACCCTTTAAAAAACCCTCCACCCTCAACCCTAAACCCTAAACCCCTAAACCCTAAACCCTAAACCCTATATAAACCCTAAACCCTTCAACCGTTCAGGTTCGTCAGGGCTCAGTTGCGGAAGGAGAGTCATAGGGATCCTTAGGGGTGTAGGGGTGTAGGGGGGGTAGGGGGCCTTCCGGCCCATAATAAGGACCAATAAGGCCTAATTAAGGAAATATAGTCCCCTACACCCCCTCCCCCTACACCCCTAAAGGTCCCTATGAGAGAGGCTTCATCACCGACCATCCATGAAACTAAACCTACTTTCAAAGGCTGGGGATCATCGGTTTTTTTGTCCGGGAATGAAAGTCTGCAAGTGAGTAAAAAGCGAGTGCACCCCAAACCTTGTAGGCTCTGGGTTTAGGGCTTTTGGGTTTTAGAGTTTAGGTTTTAGGGTTTAGGTGGTATGGTTTAGGTTTTAGGGTTTAGGTTTTATGGTTTCGGGTTTAGGGTTTAGGTTTTAGGCCCTAGGGTTTAGGGTTTAGGGCTTATAGGATTTGCATGGTTTCGATGGCTTCTGGGGCTTATAGGCTTCGTAAAGGTCGTGCTTTATAGGGTTTACAGGATTGCAGAGCTTTTATAGGCCTCCGTAGGGTTGACAGTTTGGAAAAGCTTGTCGGGTTTACTTGGAGGTTCATGGGTAGTTATAAGTAGGGGTATAAGTCCACTAACAACTTATCATTTCTGAAACCCCTCCAGATGTATTACTCACAAATACACGCCGCCAGGGCGTACCATACTGTTATCATTACACATGAACCTCCAAGTAGGGTTTGGGGTCTGGCCTCGGCGTAGGGCCGCGAGTCTCTGCTGAGGTGCACGCGCAGGCGGTCACAGCTTTTGGAGGCCCCAACCCCGCTGAGCAACTTCTCAAGCGCGAGGGGCCTCTTGAGTTTCATGAACCCTAAACCCTAAACCCTAAACCCTAAACCCTAAACCCTAAACCCTAAACCCCTAAACCCTAAACCCCTAAACCCTAAACCCCTAAACCCTAAAGCCCTAAGCCCTAAACCCTCTGTGCACCCTAAGCCCCAAGAACTCTGAGAAAGGTTTTTAGATTTTGGTCTGGTCTGGCTCACGCAGCCCAGAGGGGTCTGAGCTTTGAGGTGTGAGGGTTTAGGGGTTAGGGTTCAGAGCCATGGCTTGGGTTCGGGCTAAATTCGGCGCATTTTGCGGGTAGGAGTAAGCCCTAAAGCCTAAACCCGTGGTGTCGTACTGTGCTGCCGAAGACTCTCCGACTTCTTTACTGGTACTGTCACTGGCGACATGGCCCTCCTGTGCGCGGTGCCCGAGGAGTTTGCCGTCAGTTGTGCGGACGCAGGTCCCATCCCATATGGGCCGAGATGTGCGGACGCAGGCCAAGAAAACCGCATCTGCTGCTTGACCGTCAGAGAGCATTGCTTGAGGAGGAGACGGCATCTCCCAATATCGATGCCCCGAGCCGTAATGGTGATCTGCCCGCGATGCCAGGCTTCCAGAGTTTCTCTCCCTGCAACGACCCGACGAAAGCGCGACATGGAGTCCAGCGAGGATGACCAGGGTTTGGCTTTATATTAGATAGGGCTAAGGGTGTAGGGCCGGGTGTTTAGGGGTACTTAGTTTTAGGCTTCATACGAACATTAGAGCTTAGGGTGTAGGGCACTTAATCCACATTGCGGGGCAGGCACCGGACAGATGCCTATGCGGACATCTTCATTGACGAAGATGCGGGTGACATTGGACACGGTGATGCTTGCAACCTGCCAGCCCTTAGCCAAGCCCCTAGACCTGCACATAGAGAGACTTGGGGCACAGGTTTTGGCACGTCTGGGTTTGAAGTGGCGTGATAAAAGGTTGACAGGGGCAATGGCCCACATCAACCTAACTAGTGCGGATTTTTGGGGACCTAAACCCGCTCAACCCTAAATCCACAACCCTAAACCCCCGGCCCCCCCAAAAAAGTCTAAACCCCGAAATGCCCAACATGCCGCGAAGCTTGAGCAGCGCGTTGAACCCTAGACCCTAAACCCGAAGTGTTCTGCCAGATGATGAGTTCCTGGATGCTGCCGCGGTCGTCGAAGGCCACTTATGGAGTTGATTGAACCCAGAGAACGCGATACTACTTAATTAAGGAATATACCTTCAATTATAGGGGCCTGAATATTATGATTTAAGGTATATTCCTCAATTAAGGGGTGGGGCCTTAGAGTTTAGCCTTAGTGCATGTAGGGTTTATGTAGGGTTTATGTTTAGGATTCACGGTTCAGGGTTTGGGGTTGAGGGTTTGGGCCTTCGAGCCAGAATCAAACCCTAAACGCTAAGCCGCTAAGCTTTGGACTTAGTCCCTGTGCATAAGCTCTACGCGCCCAACTCTGGAATGCAAGCCTTGAGCCCTTAATAGTAGAGGGGATGGGTAATTACCGAGGATATGATTCATTCGGGGTTCCTGATTGGAATTAAAACACAGTACCCGGTAAACCTGTTCAAGTCTTAACGGCCTCTATACCATAAGCCCTAGGAAAGCCTCTTACGCAATCTTCTCAAGAGCACGTTAAAAGGAACCCTATTCTAGTGATGAGCCTTTAAACTCTAAGCCCTAAACCCTAAACTCTAAACCCTAAACCCTACACCCTAAACTCCCTAAACCCTATATACACCCTAAACTGCCCTAAACTCTAAACCCTAAGCCCCAGCTGTGATGAGCCGCCCTTGACGAGGCTTGAAAGCCCTGGGATTGGACGCCACCGAGGACGAGGCCCCAAGAGCAATGCAGTTTAGGAATCTAAAGAGTCCCTTATAAAGGGTCTATAAGGGTAGTTGTCAAAATTAGGGTCCCTTTTAGGGGTATCCTAAATATCAGGTGCCGTATTATATTTAGGACCCAAACAGTTAGGGTTCCTTTACAGTAGAAGCCCAAAGGTTGGAAACCTCATAGCCTCTATCCTTAAGAGTAATGCATAAGGAGTCCCAGCACTATTTAGCCTTAATCCGGTTTCCAAGTTTGTGGGGTTTACTGTATAGAGTTCCTTACAAAGGGCCTATAAGGATTACAATAAGGGTATTTATAGGTGTTTAGTATAGGAATCTGATTAAGAATCCCTGGGCCTATAACCCCAAATAGTAGGATTCATTTAAGGAACCTTAAGATGAAAGGCCCCAAGGTTTCTTAATCAGGTTCCTGCATCAGTTCCTGTTTGGGTTTCTTTGAGGGTTGGTTTTTAGTTTTCGGGTGCCTCGAAGCCCAATAGCCCGAAGCCCACCCTCAAGCCCTAAACCCCTAAACGCTGCAATAACCCCCTTACGCCCGACATCGAAGACGTTTCGGGCTCGGCCCTGGAAAAGCCCTTGAGGGCCTGGCTCAGGCCCTTCCTAAGGATCAGGGGACTCGGTAAGTAGGGTTTTAATCAAGGTAGACATAGCTATACGTAATGGTCATGATCCACATTAGGGTACTTTATCCCTGCTTGCTTAGTCCCTTGATCCTTCAAGTAAGTAGCTCTGAGGAATTAGAAAGCCGCTTCGGTCGGGTTTAGGTTTGAGGGTGTAGGGTAGGGTTTTAGGAACTTTAGGGTTTCGGAAATTTTAGGAACTTTAGGGTTTCGGAAATTTTAGGAACTTTAGGGTTTCGGAAATTTTAGGAACTTTAGGGTTTCGGAAACTTTAGGAACTTTAGGGTTTCGGAAATTTTAGGAACTTTAGGGTTTCGGAAACTTTAGGAACTTTAGGGTTTCGGAAATTTTAGGAACTTTAGGGTTTCGGAAATAGAAGCCCGTCAGAATTGAGGCCCCCCGCCCCCCACAAGACCCTAAGACCCTTGCTCCACAAAAAACCCAAACCCCAAAGCCCGAACACACTATGCTCGGAATCCTGGAAGTTGGGGGCTTGGAGCCTGGGGTTTTGGTTTGACAGCCACTGAGAGAGAGAGAGAGAGAGAGAGAGAGAGAGAGAGAGTTACATAGTGCGAGAGTTACAGAGAGAGGGAAAGACAGAGCCAGGCTTCGTAGATTCCCTAGATCCGATTGAGCACATTCCCTACACAGCTTGTAGGGTTGAGGATTTCGGTTCTAGGTGTTGTGTACTACACGATGTGTTATCATATCATACTATACACAAGAGAGAGCCCGAAACAACTAACAACTAATACGAGTTGCAATAGATCCAAGCTCCCAAGCGCCCCAAGTTTCTGTGCGGAAGGCGAGTGAGATGATGCGAGACTTTGATCAGGATCTGCCGGCGGTTTGGGTGTAGGGCTTAAGTTCGGGCTTTGGGGTTTTTAGGGTTTAGGGAGTTTAATGTTTGGGGTTGAACGTTTAGGGTTTATAGGGTCTGCTGAGGCTTCAGGGTTAAGAGACCTAGGATCAGGGTGCCAAACCCAAGCCCTAAATCTCTGACCCTAAAACCCCGAAGCCTTGTAGTGAACTTTCTACACGACATGATGCTCTACTATGTGGGAGTTTCCAAAGATAGGGGACCCTAATATAGTACCCTAAATAGCAGGATCCTTATCATAATACCCCCCAAAATAGGTACCCCTAATTTTCGGAAACTCCTATGTACTAAAGCCTGCTACACTACGGCTGTATTTGGATTTTGGAGGTCCCGGATTCTCGAGATGGGGGCCTCCGAGTCCCTTCGGGTTGAGGGGTTTAGGGCTTACCTATAGTCTCCATGGTAGTTCCTTTTTTTGGTTAACCAGTTTTATGTTTAGGATCCTATAATAAAGAGTTTTTGGTTAACCACAAAAAGGAACTACAATGGAGACTATAGGTAGGGTCCGGAGTCTAGGGTTTGAAGGCTTGAATCTTTCACGAAAGACATGCCCTGCTCACCAGGCACCAGTCCTGATAAACGTTGAAATCCTCAACCCCGATTTGCCTGGGAGGGTGAAGCGTCCCGTTCTTCTATGACTAGGGCGGTATCGACATGAGTCGGACTGGAAAGAGCAGTTCTCCACTCGGAGCTGCACCCGCAGTCATCGGCGAACTGCTGACCTGCTTCGCCCTCGACGGCTGCCTCAGAGTAGACTCTTAAAGGACGTACTATAGGGGCCTTAATAATTACCTACACTATTTTTGGGGCTTCTTATTCTAATTATAGTATAACAGGCCCCACAACCCCAATTTGGTTGTTAAGGCTCCTATGTTGTAATTGTAGGCCTCCCGAAAGTGCAGGGCCTTCTGGCAAGAGCTTTTCAAGGGAGAGTCTTGGAAGGGGCATAATGGGATGCCTAACTTCGGCCACACCCGAAGCTTGTCGAGAGTCGTGCGGACACGAGCCTGGCGGATTCCGAGTAGATTCCCCTCAAGGTTGCAAATGCTGGTTTAGGGTTTGGGGTTTGGGTTTTAAATAGGGTTTTAGGGTTTAGGGTTCAGGGACCATCAGTGCGAACAAGCACGGATCCCACGCATGGGCGGAACTGTCTACACAGTCCGTCGCAGCTGGTTTTTGTGATCTTCCAAGGTCCCCGGCTTGATTGAGAAATAGCCAACTTCGGCCACACCCGTGTGGCTGAGAAGCTTCACGAGAGTCGCGCGGACACGCTCGCTGGAGCCCATACTGTCGGGGCCTTAATAAGTAGAATAGGGTTCTGGGGCCCATTATAACTAATCACAATAAAGAACCCCCACAATAGTATTGATAATTATTCGGGTCCCCATAGTACCCATTCCTCTCCGGGTCGGAGCTCAAACTGATTCCAAGACCTGCTCTCCCTCAAAAGCCTCTCCCCCCACTCTCCCCCATCTTACCTTTGGTTAGTAGGGAATAGAGGAATGGGGTACAATTATAATTACTATTACTACCATTCTTCCATTCCCTACTAACCAAAGGTAAGTAAAAGCCTCTCCCCCAACTCTCCCCCATTCCACACCCCCCCCACCCCTGCCCACGAAGCTCCTCAGAGGCCCTCCACAAGAAAACCAATCCTGAACTCTAAGCCCTTAAAGCCCTAAGCCCTGAACCCTGAAAGTCCTAAGCCCTAAACCCTTAAAGTCCTAAGCCCTAAACCCTTAAAGTCCTAACCCTAAACCCTGGAAGTCTTAAGTCCTAAACCCTTAAAGTCAAGATCCCCAAGCCCGTCAAGTCCTAAGCCCTCATCTATAAACCCCTAAGCCCTGAAACCCCTTGCTATAGGGGTCTTAATATTTTGAATAGGGTTTTGGGGTATATTGGACCATAGTCATAAAAAGAACCCCCAAAATAGTATAGATAATTATTGGCCTGTAGTAAACCCGCGAACCCAGAGGACGTCTCGAGGCTCCAATATCCCTGAATTAAGGAATATTTCTCAAATCATATTAGGGATCCTACTGCTATAATTTAAGGTATATACCTCAATTCAATTTAAGGGATCTTGGAGTCTTGGGTCTCTGGGACTTCTGGGGGCTCCTTCTAAGCCCTAAACCCTAAACCTTAAACCGAAAGGCCACTGCACTTTAAAAAAAAAACCTTAAACCCTAAACCTCAAACCGTACTTCTAAGCCCGAGCCAGGACCGCGATGGCCTCCTGTCGCAGGACGAGTTTCAGGAGATGCTGGGCACAGTCTAGGCCGGGCCTGCGTGCAGGGTTGCAGGTGCTGGTTTAGGGTTTTAGGCCCTACAGTTTTAGGGTTTAATTATGGTTCAAGGCCCTAAACCGTTTAGGGTTTAGGGTTTAAGGCCCTAAACGGTTTAGGGTTTAGGGTTCAAGGCCCTAAACGGTTTAGGGTTTAGGGTTCGAGGCCCTAAACTGTTTAGGGTTTAGGGTTCGAGGCCCTCAGCCCTAAAACCATTCAGAGTTTAGAGCCCGTGGACTGGGCTTCATGTTCGAGCTCAGGTTAGGGACCCAAAAAGCACATAAGCATCAGCATTACATGGGGATATCCCTACATAATTGGGCTTCATTATAAGGGGGTTTATATGGGATATCCCTATCCTAATTTTTGCTTATGTGGGGCCCCATCAGGGCATGAGGGTTTCTGGGAACTGGGCAAGTAGCTTCCGAGTGGAGTTCGCTCACGAGTAGGGTAACCGCGGCGAAGGTTTTCAGGGTTTCGGGCTTATGGTTCAAAAACAAGAGCTTTTGCTCCTCCCTCAATCGGCCTTAAGGGAGGGAGTAATCCTCGCATGACATTTGAGCGTGTCTGCATCCATTCAGCACAGAGCTCAGCCTAAACCTACAGCATTCCTAGCTAGTATATGGTTTAGGGTTTAGGGGTTTAGGGTTTAGGGGTTTGGGGTTTAGGATTTTGGTTTAGTATTAAAGAGACCCCTTGCAGGGGACCCTTCTTAACCCTACTTCTGGCTCTCTTAAAAGGGGCCTTATCGAGAGGGTTTATATCCCCAAGGGTCCCCCTAATCCTAACTCCTACGCATTGCGCATGGTTCAAAGCTCTTCAACCGACCACCGTCCAAGAAGCCCGAGAAGCCATGTCTCGATCGTAAGCCCTACAGAGTCCGTCTGACGTTATAAGAGCACATAGAGAATAGAGACAACCCCTAAACCCGATAATTAAGCCTAAACCCTCAAACCCTAAACCCTAAATCTTCAACCCTATAACCCTAAATCTTAAACCCCCGAAAGCCCCTAAACCCTAAACCCCTAAACCCTAAACCCTCAACCCTATATACCCGTAAATCCTAAACCCCCCCAGAAAAACTTTGGACCCCCGAGCGCACTCCGGGCGCCAAAGGCGACCTGCTCTTCCTGGCGACGAGAGCAGAGAATGCCGGCACTTTCCGATGGTCTGCCTGGGGTTTAAGGTTTAGGGTTTACCTAGACCTACTAAACCCTACGTTTTTGTAGGTTCTTATTACAAACCCTAATATGGGGTTTATAGGGGCCCTACAAAAAAGTAGGTTGTGGTAGGTTAAGGTAGGGTTTAGAGACCCTAGAAATTCACCGTCTTGCTACATCCGACTCCATGAATCCTAGACCTCAGCGTTTGGCATTGCAGCTGGCTGAGAAGGGATTTGGCATTCAGGGCGTAGGGTTAAGGGCTTCCGGAGTAAGTTGTGTGGGCCCTTGCATTAATTCGCACTCCCCTTTGATTCGGGGGCTGTTCCGAAAGAGATGTGCCAAAAGCCATCGGGTTCTTAAAGAACGAGGAAGCGATTCCTGGTACCCTAAAGCCTTAACCCTAAACCCCTAAACCCTAAGCCCTAAACCCTAAAACCCTAAACCCTAAGCCCTAAGCCCTAAAACCTAAGCCCTAAGACTCAACAGTTGAAGCCAGGGGCCCCAAGCATGGGCCCTTGACCCTGGGGTCCTTACGTACCTACGATATACCCTATATAGACTCTTAAGGGTCCCTGGAACTCCCTCAAAAAAGCCTAAGGGTCCATATTAGGGGCCCATACTTCTAACTTTGGAAAACCACCTAAACCCTAAACCCCAAACCACCTAAACCCTAAACCCTAAACCCTAAACCCTAAACCCTAAACCACCTAAACCCTAAACCCTAAACCCTAAACCACCTAAACCACCTAAACCCCAAACCCTAAACCACCTAAACCCTCAACCCTCAACCCTAAACCCTAAACCCTAAACCCTCAACCCTAAACCCTAAACCTCAAGCCCCAGCCCTGAGCCCTAAAGTCCTCGGCCCCGTCCCAAATTCGCAATTCCCGTAGCCTGTAAACCCCATCCGCCCTAGGGTTGAGGGTTTGGGGTTTAGGGTTTAGGGTTTAGGGTTAGGGTTTAGGGTTTAGGGTTAGGGTTTAGGGTTTAGGGTTAGGGTTTAGGGTTTAGGGTTAGGGTTTAGGGTTTAGGGTTAGGGTTTAGGGCTGTAAACCTAAAAACCGGAACTCTCCAAGGAAGATCCTAAACCCTAAACCCAAAACCTGAAGAGGAGAGGACGCTGTGGGAACCTGTCTGTTGACAGGTTCCCACTCCCAACCCGTACCAACCACTACTCTGAGCATTGCGTGAACCGCACGCAATTTCGAACAGCTCCCGTTTGATAAGCGGGAAGCCGCATTTTGAATTCTGCGTGAAACGCCGAGCCTTCCGGATTCTGGGTTTTAGAGTTTAGGCGTTGGGGGTTTAGGGTGTAGGTCCGGTATTAGGGCTACTTAGGGTTTGAGGGGACTGTGTTGGCTGTATGCAGGGTTTCGGAGTTTTTTGAAAAGGTTCTCACACGGTTGTTCCGGGCTTTCTTTGGCTTCGAACAAAGGGACGAAATTATTGAGTCATCGGGCCCCAGGATTTTTCGGGCATGGGGCTCTAGGATATCGGGCAGTTTGGGGTATTGGGCTCTCATGAGACTTACCGATAGGATTCAGGTTCAGGGGTCTACCCTAAACCCCTATACCCTAAACCCCTAAAACAACCCTTAGGAACTCTGAAAAGGAACCATGGGGACCTGAGGAGCCGTAGAAGAAGGCTGGCGTTTGCCAATTCGACCTCCCCGCATCGCTGCTGCGACTCCGGTGCTTCAAAAAGACATCCGGGTTTAGGGTTTAAGGTTTAGGGCTTAGGGGTTGCTACAGGGGCCTGGATAACTACCAATGCTATTTTTGGGGCTCCTTATTGTGATTTCAGTATAATACCCCATTCTACTCATCAAGGCCCCTACATTAGGGTTTAGGGGCGTAGATCCCACACGAAAAACCTGGCTGAAAGATATCGGAAGGAAGCCCAAATCTCACACTGGTTTCCGGAGAGCCCAATACCCCTTAATTAAGGAATATACCTTAAACCATAATATTAAGGCCCCTATAATTTAGGGTATAGTCCTTAATTAAGGGGTATTGGGTTCTCTGGGTAGATGGTCCACATCCACAACACCAGGCTTTCGCGAGGGCAGTCCTCGTCGGGAGCATAGGCACCACGGGATCGATATTTAGATGTTATGTTATTCTATCTTAGATGACATTATGATGTTAGAGTATATATGCTACTTTCTCTTCCTTTCTATATGGGGTTATGTTGCCGGCTAAAGCTTGCAGAGTCTCAGAGGCAAGTCGGGGCGGGTCGGGAGAGTTAGAAAAACTGTTGATGGACAAATCCTGCATGACCCTAAGGACTCTAAACTATGGGAACTATGATCAATTCTCATGAAGGGTAGTGCAGGATTTTGTCCATCAGCAGTACCACCGCTTAGTGCCAGGTTTTGGAAGAATAGAATGGTTTAGTTTTTTTGGTATTCAGGGTCTAGGGTTTACCTGTAGCCGGAAAGACCTACCTTGTCAGGGTTCCTTATTATGGTTTCTATATATAGTTCCTTAAAGGGGTAGGTCTTTTCGGCTACAAGTAGGGCTTAGTATTTAGTATGATCTATCCCTGTTCCATTAAGTTGATGCCTGGCGGGGGTAGACGGGGGATAACCCTTAGAGTTCACAGTGCAATGGGGCTTAGAGTCTAAGCCCTAAGCTCTAAACCTTAAGTCTAGAGTCTAGACTTCAGTTTCCTTTTTGTGTGTGTGGGGAGCCGGGGGGTGTGTCAGAACATGAAGGGTCAGGGCAATCCCGTGGCCTGGTCAAGGAGTAGTACTATGTTTTGTGGCCCTCCTGAACTTCTCAATCAAACGGTGGAGTTCCCGAAAATGGGGGGACCCTAATATAGCAGCCTAAATAGTAGGATCCTTGTTATAAGGGGTCCCCTGTAGTGTAGCAACCCTCGTGGCATTCCTGAGTAAAGTGCCAAACTGTACTATTTTGGGGGTTCCTGATTATGCTTATGGTATGCTGGGACTCTAGTTATGAAGGCCCCTACATTAGTGTAGCAACCTCTCGTGTTAGTCCGATTTCGGGGTTCTGTGAACCACAGGCCTGCAGCCTTCAGAGCCAAAACGTGCTCTGAGCCCTCAACCTTACGAACTTCCGGTTTGGGTTTGGGTTTAGGGCTTAGGGTTTAGGGTAGTTTAGGGTTTAGGGCTTAGGGTTTAGGGTTTAGGATTTAGGACTTAGGGCTTAGGGTTTAGGGTTTAGGGCTTAGGGCTTAGGGTTTAAGGTTTGGGGTTTCGGGTTTAGGGTTCAGGGCTTAGGGCTTTGGGTTTAGGGTTTAGGGTTTAGGGCTTAGGGTTTAGGGTTTGGGGTTTAGGCTTTAGGGTGTAGGATTCAGGGCTTAGGGTTCAGGGTTTGGGGTTTCGGGTTTGGGGTTTAGGGTTTAACCCTACACCCCAAACTCCACGCCGTGCAGATCTTAGGAAGAAGTGGAGTAGCAAAAATCGGTTCAATCTCCTTAAGCACCAAGCGGTTGTCAGAAGTGCCACCTGTAGTTGTAAAACTAAGCCAATGAAGCAATTCCGAGTTGACCTTGAAGGTTCATCGCTCGTAGTGCGGGGCTTCATTTTTCAATGCTTTATTGAGTTTAGGGGTTTCGGTTTAGGGTTCAGGGTCTGGGGTTCATGGTTTAAACCTAAGCCACTTTGGCCGTTTATCCATCCTAGACCCTACAGTAACCCCAAAGCCCGAAAGTAAACACAAGCCACTTTGGCCCTTCATCCACTAAATCCCGAACCCTAAGCCCTGAACCCTAAACCCGAAACTCCAAACCCTAAACCCTAAGCCCTAAGCCCTAAACCCTCAACCCTAAACCCTAGAACCCCAAACCCTAGAACCCTTGAC